AAACCAGTGTTCGATCCACTCACAGTGAACAGTGACTGTGGAAAAAAGAGTGATCATCTGACTGACACTACACAAAAAAACCAGTGTGAGCCCGCCTCTGCTTGCACAAGATCGCACATACAGTGCTCAAGGTTCCTGCGTATGGTGAACAATAAGTGCAGATGACAGTGCAGACTGTACAGTAATGAAAATCCTTAAAGACTAGCCAACAAATTATTGTCAAAAAATAAGTAATTTTGATGTGGATAATACGCAGAAACCCTGAGTAATCATTACCTTCAAATGGGCATAAACACACCTCGTGTAACTATTAACACTTTATTAATATGGACCTCTTGTAGAAATTGTAACAAGATTATATTATAATAAACACTGTTGATATTCATATATGTATATGAGGTGGACATTTGTAAGTTGATGCTTTGCTGCAAAACAAGGGAATCTAGACCTAAAGAAAAAGTTTTCTTCTCTTAAAATCCATTCTGTTTTATTTATACGTAACTACTGGCTTTCTAAATATGAATTTTCTTTTTTTATTATTATTTGGGGGTGGGGGATGTCTTATTTTAATTAACTTTGCTTTAGCTGTTTTGCACTGAAATATTTGAAGTTTTCCTTGCTCAGAAGATGCCAAGGGACCCTAAAGAAAGAGAGATGATGATTTAATATGCATATTGGAAAATAAATATAATATGCATCATGTCATGTGGCATTTGAGTTTTCTTCTGTCTTACCACCTTTACACTTTACACCTTGTTAAGTTTTAAATGCATCAAAACCTGGCTGAACATACAGTCTGAACAAGACGTGCTTGACAACTAGATCATATTGAACTGGTTTCAAAGAGGACGCTGTTAACACCACAGGTTGGTTCTCACTAAAATATTTTAGTCGTGAAGAAACTCCCCATGTTGAAATGAGGGCTGCTCTGTTCTGTTCTTACTGTGAGACCAAGTCCTAATTCTGTCTGCCTGTCTCACATGTTTATGTTAATTAGAATAAGTTTGTTTGAATTATAATTAACTTTTTGATCAAACTGTGTTTTCTGTTTGTTGTCCAAGCAATGCTAAAAACTTATACTTTCTGTGCTCATAGTAAAGCAAAAAACTAGTCAACAGCCATGCTGTCTGCATGTTAGGCTGTATCACAGTAGGTAAATGCTATTGTAAGGAGGCTAAAATGCTAACAATGACAAAGTTAACATGCAAGAGGTACAATGCCTACTGTATTGTCATGGTCACAGGTTTTCATTTGTCATTTTGATTGGTTGCCAATATCAAGATATATATATATATATATATATATAAACAGATCTATAATATATCTGGTGTGAACCTGCCAGAGAAGTGAGAGGAGAGGAAGAAAAAAGCAGAGTGGCTGCTGAGACCTTGATGGACAATAAATCCCTCAAGTAGATTTAGTTTGGTTTCTGCCAGCTTCTATTTGTTAACCCAAATGAACTGAAACCAGCTGAGCTCGGTGTTAACAGGAGAAGAGGACAGTTACACCCACCGCGGAGGAGAGAGTTCAGCTAACCTAGGTTTCAGGTAAGGCCTGCACCCATCCTGTGATGTGTGGCCTGTCAGTAGCTCGTACAGCCAGAGTAGTAGTGATGGAGGATAAAGCCTGATAAAGCCTAATGAAACTTTGGGGCTTTCATTCCAAAAAAAGAGTAGGTCTGGTGGTTTGTAGCCCCTCCAGACTGGGGCTGAAATACTACCACAGCTTACTTTGATCATTTTAGTCTCATATGTGTGCAATAACAAAAAAACAGCTTGTTACTATTACATTTGTAATACTTTTGTTCAGACGTACCACATTAAATGTTAATGTTATTGGTCAATTGTCCAAAAAACCTAACCTATACAATATTTTTGTATGTAAAGTTATCGGTGTAGATTAGGCACAGTGTGGCATAACTTCCATGTTTGATATTTAACAAGTTGTGATGTGATTGAGGAAGGACATTCATTAAATTAGCCTTACTTTCATTACATTATTACTTGGTATAAGTTAGAAGTGTTCCCATACTTATGATTATGTCTTTCTAGTGTACATCACCATACTTCTCAGTTATTCTTCTTCTTCTTATCCCAGTGATGTTTCTATCACATAGTTAAACTGCAAAACCTTCAAAACTTGTTCTTCTGACGCCATCAGTCACGTAGTATTCACAATGTGCACTTCACAGGAGTGAAACAGGCTTCAGGATCATCCGTCCATCTCTACTTAATTAAATCCCCTAAACCCCCTTAAAAAATATTTCACTTGTCCTACCTGTAAACCAGCTTAGTTTGTCATGTTTGATAACATTTACTAACTAGCACTAAATACAAAGTACAGCTGAGGCTGATGGGAATGTCATTATCCATATAAGTATTGGACCAATTGAAATTTTGACCTGGTGATGGTGCTAGATCAAAAGTTATTGGATCCCTAACATTATATAACATTATTACAAGTCATCCTGAAGGAGAATCTCTTCACCAAATTTCATGGCACACCACCCAATAGTTGTTCAGACATTTAACTAAAATCCACAAATATCAGCCAATCAAGCTTGCACTAGAGGAAGTCACCAAAAGTCATTAGGATTCACCATCTAACCACCATGAATGTCTGTACAAAACTTCATGGAAATCCATCCTAAAGTTGCTGAGATATCTCCTCTAACAAAATGGTGGAACAACCAACCAACAGACTAACATTGCTATAGAGCCACACAGATAATAAAAACATATTTCACTGGATTAATAAATAACTCACTTCAAACTTGCTCAGAGCTTCTAATGTGCGACTTAGATCATGTACGTCTGTCGCTGATGAACTGTTGTCAGTCTTCAGATAAAGACGAAGCACCTGACTCTGAGCTAACTGTTTTTATGATCATTATCAGTGTTTAGTTGCAGTTATTTCCATTGGAAAAGGCCTAACCTCTGAACATTCATGTGATGCAGGCTTATCTGTATGGCTTGGATTTTCCTTTGACCTAATATGGAGTTTAACCATGCTCTGACACGCCATCTTCCTGTCATCATACTGTAAATCAAGATAAAAGTATCAAAGGACTCTGGATTAGAATCACTCCTATTCTAAATTTTGACATGCTGTTATAGATCTAAAATATAAAATTTTGAGTTTTAAACATTCTACTTTAATAAAATTCACAATATTCAGACTCTTTAACCGCGTACACAAATCAGCCATAACATTATGACCACCTGAGCACCCTGGTGGTAATAATGTAATGTAATGCTACAAACACCTTCCTTACTCATTCTTATCTGATTGTTGAAGTTGATTTAATCTGTATATTCACTTTTTAAACAGAATATATTCAAGAGTTTTAAAAGAGTTCTCCCTCTACTACCAGTAACTGTTTAACTGTCATAATTTATCCACGCTTTTTCACTCAGGTAATACTGACAAATACATTCAATTTGGAAGTGATAAAAATTCAGATTTTACCAGAAAGAGTCTTCATTAAACTGAAATATTTTATGAACATGACTAAATGAGTATAAAAATTTGTATTTTGACTTTTACTAATAACACATGTTAATGCCAAACGTGTTGGTGCTTTAACTTTAATTTGTAGACTTTACAATAGTTCAGTCAGACAACTCACGTTTGGAATGTTTATTAAGAAGTATAGCATCTCCGACCTCATCATTCCCCACAGAAATTTTTAAGCTATAATATATAAGATATATTCGGGAGTGATGAGCAAATAAACCCATAGCCGGAGCCTACTGGTGGATGCTGGGGTGGTGGTGGGGCTTACAGCGCAGCAGGCAGCAATAGCTTGCAAGGCAACAGCAGCATTGACAATGCAGAGGGAGAGCTGGGAATTGGTGCAATTTAAATAGACCACCAAATAAAAGATAAAATATAAAATATTATATATATAAAATTAACAGTAGCTACAGTAAACAGTGCAAACAGTAAACAGTGCAAACAGTAAACAGTGCAATATATATCCATATATATAGATTATATTATAACTTGTAACATTATTCTTGTTGTCATTGCAGTGACCTTGGCTGAGGTGAATGCTAATTGTATCTGAGTGACTTTCTGAACCTGCAGATAAGGATGGGGCACCTGACTACCTCCATTTTTATTTTACAACTTTCACATGATCAGGGTTATTTATGAAACACATTGTTGATTTTAATCAGAAAGCATAGCCTCTCAATTGGAGGAGATTTTGTGTAAAAGAAATGTACAATCAAACGGATTTGTTGAATTGTGTGTGTATATATATATATATATACAATTCAACAAATCCACTTTTTTACAAACGGAATGCTAAATTAGTTTCATGATCAATGACATTTTTTCATTTAGCTGTGAAAAGACATGATAAAGTTCTCAAGAACAAAGAAACCCAGACTTAAAGATATATTTTAGAACCAGATGAGGTATAACAGTAAGGAGGCATGCACTGTAGCATTCACACGTACTTCAGATACATGCAGCCATGCCTGAGAAAAAAGCAGTTGTGTACAACATTGGAATATTTACACCTGCAGTCAAAGCACTGGAGCCCAAATCTGGTGTCACCTTGAGGAAGAGTAGCAGGATGTTGTATATAAACTACAGTGCCATTTTTATTTTTATTAATATTTAAGAAATACATTAACCTAGAGATCAGAATGACATTTTGTAAAAGATACCCAAAGGCTTTTGTACATTTATTCCCATTCAATGTCATTTTTAAAGTAATCCTTCTTTAATGTGGAAAATAATCACAAGGTACAACATCTGGAAATGCTCTCAGATTAAAGGGCAAACATAATATATCTAATAATAAACATACCTGATGAGTTGTTGGACAAACAAGCATGTGATGCATTGCACAATCTTATCAATGGTCATATGTCACACCAACTTTTACAGAGGAGGGCTATTAACTATTTGGTCATATTTTCCCTCATTGAGGCAGTCAGAAAAAATGCAGAGGGGGTTGAACCACGTGGTGTGAGAGGGGGCAGCTGAGACCAGAGTGCTCACAGGTTCTTCTTGTCTGTTTCCTAAAGCTTCTCCTAAAATTTCTCAACATGAACGTGCTCGGTGTGCTGTCCTGCCTCAGCCTGCTGCTGGCTGCTGCTGTCGCCCAGGACCCAAAACCTTGTGGTGAGTGTGGACACATGATCGCTTATGAATGAATTTCGGCAAAGAGAAGAAAGAGGAAAAGATTCAATGTGTACATGATGGAGAAATAAAAACAAAGACAAATATTGGCAGGAAATATTCATATATACTTGTATGGTGTTCATTTGTCTTTTAAAATACTGAAATACATGAACAGCAGCTCAACATTAAATGTTAATGGTTTGTTTTTCAAATGTTTTTTTTTGTATTTTGGTTGAATATCTGATTTTTTCTGTTCAGTTTCTTCTTAGTTTCTTGTTTCAGTTGAGAAAAATGTTTTAAAAAATTTACATTGCATAGTAATTCATTCATTTAATTAGTAAGTCTGTCATTTATATCTGTTTATTTAGTTTGACATGTCAGTGTAATACCGGTGCCTTTAACTGTGTTGAAAGAATAACTTTGTATGTTTCTGAAACTGGAATTTGGGACCTCAAAATCAGGCAGATTTTTGACTAATCATTTGCCTGCAAATACAAATTATATATATTTTTTTTTTAATCAATCTTAATAATGCCTACAATCAGTCATACAGACACATTTCTGATTATGGACCAGGCTATAAAAGTATTACTTTGTATGTTACAAATACATTTCTTATGCCAGATCAAAAAGAGAACAGATTTCTTGAACAATTTGATTTCCTCTTCCACAGTTTCTCCCCCACTGATGAGTGGAGGTGTCAGTGTGGTGAGTCTGCTTATTTGCCTAACACATCTAATTTCTCTTGGATGAACCAATGTCAAGTGATTCCATTGTTTCCCTTCATGTATCTCTGTATCTTTTTCAGATGGCTGCCAACGGACTCGTCATGTCCACAGGAACAATAAGCTATGATGCTTTTGGCCAGAAGATGCGAATTAGAAACTTCTGGCTTGTTGGCAATCAGACCTTTGCTCTGGACCAGCTGATGCTTTTCAGTCAGGTATATAACCCTGGTTCCATTGTTACAGCAAATACTTTTTTAAGGGTTTGTTTTAATGTAGCTGTGTACTGAGCGGTTTCTGTCCTACAGCCATTTTTCCACATACACCTGTCATGTATATAAATGACAGCTTATCTGTTACTGTGACCTAACTGGTTCTGTAGACAGGGAATGTGTGTCCTTGCAGTCCCTTTTGCTCCAGCTTCAGCATATCTAATCACTCCTTTTGCAATATAGCACCATATGTCCCAGGACCATGAATGGTGGTCTGTACTACTCCTAACAATGAAGAGTAATAGATGAAATGAATGAATGAGTGTATTTTCTCCCACCTCATGCAAGAACCTTTCCTAAATACTCCATAGGTTTATGCAAAAGCATTAAGTAAATAATGATTTATATAGTTTATAATAGCTACTGCATTCTTCTCATAGGGATTCTTGTTCTCCAGTTAATTTAAACAGAGCAACAGTAAGACAGGGCTGCTAGAAAACAATAGTTTGTATTATCAGTGAACCTGCTGAATATTTTTCTTTACCAATTACTCAATTACTTATTTAGCCTAAAATAATACTGTAGTCCTTCAATGACATTCGTGTTTTCCTCCATGCATGTATGCAGTGATCCTGCCACCTCCAAAAACAGGTGGAGGGAGTCACGCTGCCCAGCCCCCCATTTCAATCTCTATTTTAATCACAGTTAGTTTTGTGGTCAGGTCATTCTGAGACAAGATTTGGTTTGTAAAGTTTACACTCTGCCATGCTGTTGCTCCTGTGTTGCTTGTGGTACAATAAAGGAAAAGCAGATTTGACTGATTAAATGTGAGTAGATGCTGGTTTCCTCACGACTGATGACTCTAATCATCGAGGGGCAACTAATACTTTAATTTATTACTCTAAAGACATTGTTTAACTAATGACCTTTTGTGCCATCAAAGCAATAAAGCCAACACATCCTGAAGGAGAACACTACATGGAGAGTAAGCACAAGTTAAAACAGACAAAGATATGACAAGTGAAAGGACAGCATTCATTGTCTTTCTTTGTCCTTTCAGAAAGTCTATTATGAGATAGACTGGAGCAAACTAGCTTGCAAGAAGAAAGCACTGGACACCACCTTCATTCCTATGCAAGTTCCTTCTGATGCTAAACTGATGGGCCAAGTATTCATGGGCTCCTCTTCCTCCTGGGGAATGGGTGTGCTAGTCAACACCTGGCATGGAGACCTGCCACATAATGGTAAGAGAAAACATTGTATGCTAAACAAAGAACTCTGGTCTTATTTTGACTTGTTAGAAGACATACAAATGGGAGAATACTTTGGAGATACAGTGAGGACTGGAATTGAGGGGGTGATCACAGGGTTAGCTGATGACTTTTTGTGAGTTTGTTAATTTCTCAAATATGTAGGCTGGCTACTCACTCAACAATAATTTCACATTTTTTCTCCAAATATATTAAATATGAGACATGTCGGCGCAGCAGCCGTGGATATGTTGTAAGACACTTTTGAAGGTGCTGTCCTGAGTAATGAAAAGTAATTTAACAAAAGCTGTGAATAGTTACCTCCACTGTTAAATAATTGGTACAGACTCATTGACTTGTATCCAACATTTCTGTCGGGCTCTACGACGTAGGGTGTTAGAGTGGTCTAACTGTAATAGTTTAATCAATTAATGGTTATCAAAAGTTATTTAATTATCAAAATCATAGAAAATGACTTTAATTAATATTAAAGCTTCCTCGGGCACCCACCCTTAAATACGACACGATAACCAATAATCGATTGATCAGTCTCATAAAAATTCACTAAACTACTTAATTCAGAAACAGATTAATAATTAAATAACTAATTACCACCAAAATCACTTAATAATAGCCTAGAGTGGCGAGCTATGGAGTTCCTACATACGAAGAGGGTTGGGTCACTCACTTCACTCAGGCCAGCATATGCTAAACACAAACATTTAAACACCAATTAATAAAAGCAAACCACGAGGAAAAAACACAAACTCCATCTAACTTAAGGGAAAAAAAGGAGTGCGCTGCGTAACGCTTGCGTGTGTGTGGTGGTGTGTGTGTGTGTGTGTGTGTGTGTTGTGTGTGTGTGTGCAATTGGGGCGGGTCATAAAAGGTTTATGGCCTCTGGACCAGAGGTTTTCCAGGATTTGAAACATGTGGCTTGGGTGGTGAGACAGGAGATAGAAGGAAGCGGGAGGGTTGCAATTCCCTCTCACGGTGTTTAGAGACCAAAATTCATTGTGTGTGTAGATTTTAGATTAACGGTCCTTTAAGGGAGTTTGGTGTATGCTAAAGACGATGTCTGTGTGAAGCTCAAACTAATATCACCTTAGCACTGGTCTGAAAGACTACAGTTTACTACGTAACCTCAGTTAATCAAATCGCAACATCACAAATACCACAAGTAACCTGAATTTAAAACACATAGCAACATTAACAATTAATTAACAGTCTTTGTTTAGCCGTAACTCTGTTAAATATGTCTGTCTATGCCCCAGTACGTTACCAGCAAGGTCCAATGAGATGAAAAAGAGTTCAGGGCGTCGAGGTTGCGTGGGTCAGCTGGCGGTCCTGTGAGCCAGCGCTGGATCAGAAATTTATGGTTCTGGAAAGTCCAAACTGTTTCTGTTGTGATGTCCGCTGGTTGCAGTATCGCAGGAAAAAACCAGCTTTTGTGGCCCGTGCTATGATCCCTTGGTCAGTGCGTCGTCGGGTGGGTCAGGCCGCACCAAGGTCCAGGAATTTCACCCGGGGTGGGGACGGGTGTGGATTCAGGAGCGAAGCGAGGATGAGGAAGAGAGCGAAGAGAGGCATCTACTTCTGGTTAAGTAGCTTGATGGACAGGTCTGGTGTCAGAGGAATCCTTGACCAATGAAAGGCAGTGTCTTGGCGTTTATCGCCCTATTAAACCACACCGCTTGGCCCCCCACTGAGGGGTTCTGAGATTTCGCGGGCCACACCATTTTTATAGGTATTCAGTCACTCATAGAACACGGACTTATAGGCTCCAATGAAGTGGCCTCAGGAGAATCCTTTTGATGTTCCTGAGCACACTGCCTGGGCCCAACCATCACTTTGTCCAGTTAAATACTTCAAATTAACAAGTTCATATTTAGGGGTATCCTTGGATCCCAACATTTCCCAACATTGGTTGTGAGCACCAGAAATCTAATTTCATTCATTGCAATTGCAACAGGTTGTCAACAGAAATCCTTTAACTCAAAACTTCTAAAATTAAAACAATATTTTCTACACAGCAACATACCAGGTAAACGGGTAAAGGTATTTTATTTGTTTGGGTGATCCAACCCTTTTAATGCTGCTATCACATATTTCCTTTGTGTAGAATAGGTTGTGGAAGTGAGAATCAGGAAATTCTTACTTGTGCAATTTAAAAAACAAAAAATCACTCTGTGTTTTGTTTGACCCTCACATGTGACTTGTGTTTCATGTCCTCAGGCAAGCATATGACTGTCTTCACTGAGGTTGGCTGCATCCCTATGACTTTCACTGCTTACACCCCAGCATCTGGATGGACCACTGTCAGGTGAGTGCATGAGCCGACAAAACCACTGGAGCATAGAAACAGTTAAATCAATCTCGAAAACTTATTCCAAACTGCCTGTCAGTATCATATATACTGTATTATTTTAACTCAATCAATATAAAATAAGTCTATTTATATATAGAGGGTCTAATAGTATGTTCAAGCTCTTCATTGAAGGTATGTGAAATATTTTAACCCAAACCTAACCAAATGGCTGAACCATTCAATGAAATGGAAATATTTGTCTTGTGCACCATTTTTATAAACATTCCCAAAAATGCAACCTGACACATTTGACATCTATTCAAATTTCTCCAAACAATCTCCACTAAATTTTAACAATTAATATTGATTGTAATTCATACAAAGTTTGGCTGCACAACTTGAGTTTGCAATGTCATTCGGTGAGGTTTAAGTGGTAAAAAAAAGGTTTTGAAACCCTTTGCCATACACATCAACACTTTTTAATGGGAGTGGCTCAGGAGGTAGAGCAGGTCGTTAGTGATTCAATCCTCCAGTGTGCATGTGTGTGTGTCCTTGGACAAGATACTGAACCCCAATTTGTGTGAGTGTATGTAAATGGCTGGGTAGAGAATCATCATGGGGCACTTTAGGGAGCGTTTTATCACTTCTGAGGATCAGGTTGGCACCTTACACGGCAGCCTCTGCCATCAGTGTACGAATATGTGGGTGAATGGGTAGATGTTTGCATGTGTTGTAAAGTGCTTAGGGCATTTCCACCAAAAGAGGAGAATTCAGTCTGGGCATGACCGGCCACAATTTGGAATCACATGTAATTGAGAAGATTGTGCAGTATTTCTGCCCGTGAACCATAGTTTAAGACATTAATGTGGCAACATGGTCACAATGTGCTGTATGCAGTCTGCAGGCCATCTTCAACTAACAGTACATTGTTGTTTTTGTTTCAGCACCTTTAACTGGGTAGTGGGCAACACAAACCCCATGGACTACATCCCTCCTTTATTCTGTGCCAGATCTAAGCTGGAAGAGACAGAGACACCAGACACCATGTTTACTGCTTTGGAGTCTCTGGCCATGAAGACCAAGAAAGAGGAGTAAACATCTGGAGCAGCTCACCAGAAATAATCACTGATACTGCTACCACCAGAGTAGCAGAGCTAAATTTGAGTTGATTCAGTAATCATCATGGAATATAATGTTGTTTAGATTAACACAATTTTTAAAGTTGTTTCAACCTGCTAAGCCACAATATAGCCACCAGACAACACAACAAGTCAGGGATGCATGTGAAAGTCATTTTAATACGCTCTTGATATATCACCTGGGGTATCAATGGGGTAAAAACCCACACACCTCATTCTTTGGTATTGTTGGCTTAAGGAAATCATAAGATGATAAGATAGTAGGAGCAATGAGTAAAGTGAAAATTGGATGGTCACAGTGAGAACTACTTAAAGGAGACCTGTCTATGTGTTCTATCTCTGGCAGCCTCTTCAATAAAATTAAGTTAAAAGCATTGAATAATACTGTGCTTATTTGGAGCTGATGTATGAGTGGATGAGGGAGCAGAAGCAACAGGAAAAATAGGTTAAGTGTAAATCTATACCAAACATGTTTTTCACACTGAGACATCGATACTTGAGGCATATTTATGTGTTATTTTCATACCACAATAATCAGGGGTGCAAACTGGATGATGATCTGATGGCAGCAATGTTAAGTTGTCCATGGGCCCACCACCATAATGTTATATTTGGATAGCTAAATGTTTCTAGTGAATATAAAGAAAGATTAAAAGGTTTTTTGTTGGGATATTTCAATTTAGATATGTAGGATCCCTAATTATTAATTATTGTTCATAATTTACACATGGCGGGCAGAGTGACCCTTTGCGCAGGAAGACAGTGAATTAAGGGAACTTGAGTATCATTTTGCATCTTGACAGTACAATGCAATAGGTGTTTGCTTTTGGCTTTCCAAGAGAAAAAGTTTGGTCACCTCTGTTCTAGTCTGTCTGTCTTGCTAACCTAGCGGGGCAATGCATCTCTTAGGCTTTCTGACTTTGTGCCTAACGAAAGTGAGAATGAAATACAACTACTTGTTAAGTTTGAAAAACGCCAACTGCAGCTTGGAGAAAATAACTGTGTCACATGTATGCCATCATATGTGATGCATTGAATGAAAATTGTGCTTTACAGCAGCCACCTCTGTGGAGACCCATCCTGACAATGGGCAGGATGACACTGCTCATAGACACCCATAATTCTGAAACAAACAGCGTATCTCTTACAGACTCTCAGACTCTCAGTTAAGGTTTAGTTACAACTCTGGATGGAAAGATGCATGATGGAAAGCAATGTATTGCCGTTAAATACTAATTTTAAAATGTTGATTAGCTGGACATACTGGGCAATATGGATGCAGTTCTCTCAATAAATAACATCCATCAAGTATTCAACCAAGTCATAGTATAAATAATATTTTATATTTGAAATAAAAGGAAATCTTGCAGAGCCAGTTTGGAAGGGCTTAATGCAGCCATTCTGAGAGAAGTCTTATGTTTAAATTTATACCAAAGCAGTCAGCTGACGGCATGACACCCGAATCACACTTTACTCTCACTCTTTGATCCTCTTTGAACACTTCTGGTTCTTGTTAACACCACCAGCCTATTTCATGTACAATGTTCATGTCTGGTCAGCAGTGTTTTGTTTAGGAGTCCAGTAGGTGTTGTTCCTGGACAGAAGGGGCAGGCAGGCTGGGGTCTATACAGAAACATTTCCTAACTGCCTGTCTTATATTCAAAGTTTCAAAGAGGAAGAGAGGAAAAAATCATATCATCCGACAACAGAAGCAATTCCTAAACTAATGGATATCTCAAATCTATCTTATCTTCACGTAAGGAATCCTAGCTGGAACTGTAAAGCACTCGTCCTGTATTTGTGTTTAGATGAGACTGTTTGTATCCTTGACAACGGCTGTCTCACTTCACTTGTCACTGGCTAACTGGCTTGATATGATAGACAGGCAGATTGAGTTAGCAATGTGAAGTCAGCATTTTAGTTTGTTTCCACAGAACATAGGAAATGTATGCAAGTGTAATAATCACGCCTCTTAGGTAATTTTCCACAACAGTGATGCTGTCCTGTTTGTTGTTGTATGTTTCTGTACCAAAAGTCCTAAAATGTCATCCTAACCTGAGATAAGATAGGGTTTCAGACTTAGGAAGATTCTGTAATAGATTATTATTATTTCAGTTCTCCCCTCTGAGATGAGGTCTGCCTGGCAGGGCTCTTCCATTTCAAGGACTTTATCCTCCGGTGAATCCCTTTTATTTAAATGGTATCCATCCTGTCAGTCGGCATCTCTCTGTGTTCCTGGAACAACCACCACATGCAGACACCTAGGTGAACAATGTAAAAACAACTTTCAGTTCTCATGCTATGTGTTCAAAGCATTGACTAATACTTATTTAGGATGCTGGGACACATGACGAAATAAGATGGAAGCAATAAAATAACTAATATAGAACAGTTTGAAATGGCATAGCAGTTAAACAAACTGATGGCAAATTAATCATTCATCCCTTAAAAATTAAACCACACAAATACAGTGCGTACCATTGCCCTTGTATCCCCCTGTAGTAACCTGCAGTACTCACTGACCTACAGCAGATGGAGGCAGCATTGCTCTTATCTCAGTGGTTCCTGCTTTGATTTATGCATCTGCCTACTAAATCTGAGGGTTTAGTGTTTACTGTCAAGTTACTGTCAGTTATTTAAGTACTGTACCCTAGGTGGTAAGGCACCTCCTGCACACACACACACATTTATTAAGATTTATTATATTGTGTCACCAACAATTTAAATGTATACTGCTTAGAAATGCTAAATTTAGGGGTTAAAGTAAAGTGACTGCAATATGTGACTTGCATTCAAGGTAAAGCCAACATGATAACAGACTTTTGAGACTTTTGGGGAGTGTTCAGAGTTTGTAATTTTGCATACAGTAAGAGTTATTTGCTGACATATAACCCATTTCACACATATAAATTAGAATAACCATCCATTTAAAAGTTATCCTTTATTGTTCCATCTTTGAAAGTTTTTAAAAACGTACTCAAATGACTGAATCCCAACGCTGTGTCCTCTTACAGTAATGGCTGACTAACCCACTGAACATCAATAATAAGAACCTCTTGTTTTATCATAGGAGGTTATTCACACTTGTTTCTCCTTCCGGGATTTGTGAGTCATCTTCTAATAATGAACGGCAAGGTGTTCGGAGGTGGCTACTCAACCCCACTGTCAAAAATTACTCATCTGTTCTGTGTGATTAAAGAGATGAGAGCCTGTGCTGGAAGCATTAGCAGCAATAATAGCCTTGCTAGTCTGTCCAATTATCAGTCTAATGATTATCTAAGCATGCTGGGACTGTGGCATAGGTCTGCACAGGAAGATTTGGGGCTGAACTTAAAGTCCCTGTTGTGATAAGGAAATTACATTGTTAAAGTCAGTTCTACCTTCCAATTATACCAGATTTAACTGAATCTAGACTGTTGAGGTGGGAGACGCTGTATGCAGATTTGTTAATTTTGTGCCTGACTGCCAGTCAATGACAAAGCCAGTGGAAAGTCGAGGCAATTTCAAACCCTGTCGCCTTAAAATTCTCAGCAGTGTCACATGAAAATAAAAAATAAAAAATAAAGCTCATTTTCATTTAACAGCTGCACACTGAAACAGCAAAGAACTTAAGCACTAAGGTAAACATTGCATGTTCACTGTTTATTGAACAGATGCAATTGTCTTGTCAGTGAATCAGTACTAAGCTGCACTTTGCAACAAGGTGCTGACAATCAGAGAGGAAGATTTGAATGCTGTTAATAACCCTACTGTGATTTTAGTCAAACTGGCTGTCCAACAATAAAGCCAGAAAAACTAATGAAAAAGTACTGAGCAGATTAATGTTATTTACTGTGAGTATTCATGGTACCAGATATTAATCCTATGTTTTTGATTATCCTCCACACTATCACTGTAGCACCACCAATAAGTTTACACGTCATCTTCTACAAAAAATACGTGATTTTTCCTAGCATCAAGCGTTTAGCCCTAGCCTAGCACCTAGTATCATGACATTCATAACATAAACGTTTATAGCACGACTAGTAGTAGACAAGTAGGCTCTGTAAATAATACAATCGTCAGTAAGTTCGTATTATATCTTTTGTACTGCAGATGTATTTTGTACGAGATGCTAACATTAGCACGGTACCCAGCCACGCTTTCCAGCCTCTCCGGCTGGCAGAGAAACTCTGTGTGATACAGGTGGATCAGGACCCCATGGCCTAGATTACAGACTATCTCACCGACAGACCACAATATGTCAGGCTGCACAGCTGCTTGTCAGACATGGTGACAAGCAGCACTGGCACACCCCGAGGAACTGTACTGTCACCATTTCTGTTCACCCTCTACACCTCTGACTTCTGCTTCAACTCTGGAGCGTGCCACCTACAGAAGTTCTCTGATGACTCCTCCATTGTCGGCTGTATCACAGATGATAGGGAGGAGGAGTAAAGAGACCTGATTGAGAACATTGGATGGTGCGACAGAAACCACCTACAGCTTAACACAGGGGAAACCAAGAAGCTGGTGATGGACTTCCAGCACAGCAAGAGGCCCCTACGCTGAGCTGAGACAGACTGATTCAGCCCCGAGCCTTAAAGCACACAGGCTCATTTGTACCATCAGCCATCAGACTCCACAATGCCACAGCACCCAGTACCTCCAACCTCAACTTTAACCTACTATGCACAAACTCTTTGCACAAACTACACCTTTCAAATTGCACATGTACAGCTTAGTTTTAGTTAAATGCTGTTTAAGATATTTTGCACCCCATTCTAGTGCATATTGCATATAGTGTATATATTTTTCATTATAGTCTTATATTTTCTATTATATATTTGAAATTGCATGCTTATATTTTGCTTTAAATCTTAGAGAGTGAAAGAGTTGACTCCCAAAGCATTTAGTGCAAATCAGGATGACTTATGCCACTGCACTCACACTGCAGTGTGATTGTAAATACAGGCAGTTCCAGTGATTAAAGGGTGTCTCATCCACAACTGATGCTTCATCAGATATATCCAGATGCAAATTAGTGCATGCTGTCATCTGGAGAATTTTAGTGACTTATTGAGCACCTGGTACTTTTCCTCAATAAGAGTTGGCCACACTGTCTCAGGGACAAGTGAAAAAGTAATTACAGACAGGAGTCAGCTGAAGTGGTTAGCTTTGGGTTTATACAGGTGGAATAGCTTTGGCTACATTGCACAATGAAGGATTTTCAAACATTTGTCCAAAA